GTCCAAAATATTATTAAAAAGTCATAGTATAGTATGTCGATCAAAACATCATAAAAAAGTCATAGTATAGTATGTCGTTATAAATTATCATAAAAAAGTCATAGTATAGTATGTCGTTATAAATTATCATAAAAAAGTCATAGTATAGTATGTCGTTCAAAATATCATAAAAAGGTCATGGTATGGCATCATGGCATCAAAAATATCATAAAGAAGTTATAGTCTGCAGTAAAAGTATCCTATAAAGCCATTTACACTAATTTTCATTCCAAACCATAGAGAGGATTGTCATTATTATTAAATGACCAATAAACATCCTGACAAGCAAAACAATTCCCTTTATCATCATATCAGGCCACTAGGAGGAGACGTAGCTTAAAAGATTATTTCAATGCAGAAGCTGAAACTGAAATTTTCAGCTAAGTAATGACATTCTGAGCACAGCAAGCAATCCATACACCATAACTGGTGGTAAACAAACGTTTATTTATCATATAGCACAACAGAGTATAAATAAGAACATTGTATAGTAACAGAAACTTTACAAAAGAAAACATGTGACAGCTTCTTTTCATAAAATAATCGATAACTGCACCTCAAATGCAACAGATGTCCAATAAATACATATATGTCTTATTTTAGCCCATTATCTACAAAATAAAGGTCTGTGCTGATAACATGAATATGTAAATTTGACCTGGAAGGCAAGTGAAGGAGACAGATGATATAATAACGTGCAAAACACTCTGAAGCTGCAAATCCATGAAACAAAAACTAAGTCCACAACAGATCCCTGAACCTCCAGGCTCTTCTATACATTTAGTCTCTAACTGGCTCTGATTAAATCCCCTTGGAAATTACCATTACTTGCAGCCTATTATGCTATACATATATCAAAGATCTTGACAGGTGAAAGCAACTGTTTTCAGATTCAGATTCAGATTCAGAATACTTTGGGGCTGTCACTAAGTGCTACAAAACATTCAAAGACCCTGCTCCATGTGAGCCGCCTGCCTGGTGGAGGATGGGGAGGAAAGATTAAAAAGGTGAAAGGAAGAGGGCCAATAGTGCCGAGCACCAGCTGCGAGGCAAAGGAAGAGTTAGTAACCATAGCCCTGGTGATAGCCGTCCTGGTAGCCGTGTTCGTATCCGTGCTGATGGTAGCCATAGCCGCCGTACTCGTCCTCAGGGCAGCGCATACCCAGTGACTGCTGGATGGCCATTTCTTGTCTGCGCAGCTGCATTGAGTCTACCAGGTCATAGATAATAGCCATGGACCACATGGGCGAAGGGTACCAGGACTTCACGTTGCCGTCCTTTCCTACCAGCAGCATGGAGAAGTATTCTGGGCTGATCTGGAAGTAGTTCCTCATGTCCTTCACCAGCATGCCAGACAGCCCTTCACGCTCGACAGTAGCGCTCCCTGGATTGAGCAGAGATTCAGGTTAGGAATTAAGTATTTAAGACAGACATTTTATTTTTAAAAGAGAAGTCCCAGCCATGTTTTCCTTCGCAGACTTGTTTGACATTTACTGTATCTCCACATGCTGAGCTCAAATGCCAAAAGCAGAAACCTGAACAACTTCAGTCCGCTGGCAACAGCTCCAGTTATGACTTGCGGCTTGCATAAGCCGGACTCCCATTTCTTTTTTCCCAGTAAAGTTTGTTTGTTTAAGAGTTCTCTTGGGCAACATCTACCAGGTCGCATGAAATGAAAGAAATAATTCATTTTTTATTCCCCTGCTGCAGCAGCAGCAGTACACATGGTTGTGCAGTTGGGAGGTTGTTGGAGAGCGTCCTTGATAATGGCAAATCTTTGAGGTTCCTCTGGAGACATGGTGAAATGATAGGAGGACCTTTGACACACTGGTCTGTGCAGAAGGGTTTAAGGAAAAACTGGGATTCTGGTTTTACTGAGGGAGATCTGGGACATTTTGACTTTTAGTATGAGGAAAGACAGCTGTTTTGAGGTGAAACCAACAGTAAAAGAAGGCACTATGTTCATATATAGAGGTACTATTTATACTATGTCGTGACTCCTAACAAAATGAGGGCAAACAGGTGAACTTGTTCTGGGCTTAAGTTCTGGGCTAAGATTAAACCAATGTCCAGTGCTCGTTTTATATTTGGATTTGGCGATCCATTTATTCTCAATACAATATACACATGCCCACCATAACACAGACAGGCAGCAGCATTGTCCATGTTCAATGGTTATCTATTAAGCAAATTGAACAGCAATTCTTCATGCTTTCATGACACGGCTCCATGACACGGTCAGAAACGGTTTGCTTCCAGTTCCACACACCTGATTTTCATTACCTATATGCAGCTTCACACATGAATGCGCCACCCTGTGTTCAGTTTCATAACTGCATGTGTATATTTATATTTACCTTGTTTAGATAAGGATAAAACAAACAAACAAACAAACACTATATTATGGCTCCAACATAATTCTTGTGTTACTGTGTGTCCGACCCACTAATAATTTTATATGACAAAGTTCTTACCGTTGATAGGATAGAGCTCCAAGACTCCGCCCATATCCGGCGCCTCTGTGCCGACCAACTTCAGAATGGCGATGTGCCTCAGACCTGTGTCACCATGGCAACGACAAACACAATAACAACACACATGAGAGACAAAAAATATGATACAGTAAAACTCAACTTCAAACAAGAACACTGGATCTTATTCACCAATCATTCTCAAGAGGAAATTTCTTCATGTCTCTTCTCCACCCTCTTGAGAGGTCTGAGGCATTCTTGACCTAATTCTGTCAACTTTTATTTTCAATTTCGTGGTGTGCACGCAGATCATGCCCTCTAGGACAATGGGATTCATAATTACAGAAACAGGTGTGAACAGTTCTGAGGTTAAAGAACATGTCATGAATCTGACGTAGACATTTCTAAAGACTTTTCTTAAGGATATATTTAAAAAACTTAGAAGACATTGGTGAATAAGGCCCACTGTGTCTGCAATATGTAGACTATTTTGTATCCAGCAGTCTTCCTGCTTATACAAGCTGATTTCACTGTGGTTACTCATTACTGGAACCATCTAAGCGCTGGTTTCTAGGTAAAAGGAGGAGAACGTGGTGGTCCGCAGAGTCCTGCCAAAAAGCTGTTTCCTCTGAAGCGAGAAAGCCCACATTAAACACAGGAGAACGCAGGCTTCACTTGGTGGGAGCCAAGTGCTGAATACCAGGATCAAACCTCTCAGGCCTTCAGCCCAGTCAGCAGGACAGGCCTTTGTCTGGGCCAGGGAGAGAGGGAACAGGCCTGGGTGCCAGCCCAGCCAAGAGCAACACATGAGGGGGGAAGTCCTCACAGACTGCTGTCTGCGTCTGCTGATAAGCAAGACAAGCTTTTTTTGTCTTCAGTCCTCTGACTCACTCATATGGAAAATCAGTGTACAGACATAGATACTGATGTCAGAGCATGTACTGCTTTGTAATAAGGCAGATTTTAACAAAAAACAAGTCATGGTGAGGTATGTCAAAAAAAATATATAAAAAAGGCATAGTACAGTATGTACAGAAAATGTGAGAAAGTCATGGTATAGTATGCGGTAAAAAAATATAAAAAAATAGTATAGTATGGGACAATTTTTTTTTAAATCATTGTATCATAAGCAACCAAATACATTACAAAAAAGTCATAGTAAAGTATACAACTGAAAATACGGTTAAAAAGTCATAGTCTAGTGTGTGATTGAAAATAGCATGAAAAAAGTAACTGTATAATATGTGATAAAGAATCATAAAAAAAGTCATAATATAGTTTGCAATCAAAAATATAAAAGTCATAGTATAGTACAAGTTAAAAAAAACATAAATAAAATGTCATTGTATGGTATGTCATAAAAGACATTATAAACTAGAATGACTGCCTTGGGGATGTACACCTCTGTGAACCATTCAAGTTTAGATCCAAGTCTATGAAAACATGCATGCTGAATAATGGCCAAACAGAACATTATGATGTCACAGTGAAGTTGACCTTTAACTTTTTGAATATGAAGGGCTCTAGTTTCCCAGCGTGGCGCAGAGTGGCGCAGGGTGGCGAACCCCGCGCGGAGCTAGTTTCGAGCAGCGCAACCCAAGGCATGCTCAGTTTGGTAGTTTGGCAGACCGAGGTGTGCTGAGATGGGTGTGGCGGTGCAGCAGGGGGAGGTGCCGACAGATCCAGCTTGGCGCAGTGACAGTTTCGTGCCAAAAGGCTTCGCCGAAGGTGCGCTGAAAGCTCGCCAACTGAAACCAGGTCTACTGTCAGTGCAGGGGGAGTGCAGCCGGTGTAAGCCGAAGTTTGGCTGACCAAACACGTCACCAAAACCTCACAGTCAGGTTTCCAGAATGTCAGGCACATTAACGATGCAATAAATACCCAAAAACACTATTCAATGCAACTATCTGCAATCAGCACATAAATGTATCTTTATATCGACTGTCCCGTCACATCTGATGTCAGATCAAAGGGGATTGGCACCGTTTGGCACGTTTGGCACGCGTAATGGAAACCCAACCTGATTTGATTAACACAGCTGCGAACTAATGAGTTCACATCCCTCTCAGCCAACCACAAACAGCCACAGCATCAGATAGGGAGTATATATTCAGCATCTGTCATCTTAGAAAAGTCAAAAGAAAAGAAACAGAGTGAGACTGCAAGAGAGAAAGAGAGAGCGCACACACGAGAGAAACGCAACATTGATTTACAGTTGTGGTGACCTCCTCCCAGGCTACCTTTGCATCATCAGCTCGTGGAGGTCTGCTCACAGTTCCGTATATTCGGACACTGCGAGCTTGGACCTCCCAGCCCAAAACATCAGTTTCCTCCTGGGAGAAGTTTGGCCGTCTGACGCTGCTGCTCTCTTCTGCCATGGCAAATTGAGTAAACTCTCATTACACCTTCACGCGGTGCATTTAAGGGCGAGGAGAGGGGCTCATTTGATTGATGTGATGTGTGTAAAACCCACTCCACGCCTTCTCTCCTCCCTCTTTCCGACTTGCGCCGATAGGAGGGACGGAGGTGGGATAGAGGAGTAGCTGCGCCAGGGAGCACGGTGTGCCAAAATTACAAAATCCGCCTGGCCACACCCAGTTGGCGAAGCGCAGGTGCGCTGTGCCTCCGCCGCGCCCAGTCTGCGAAACTAGAGCCCGATATGTCATCGTATTGTCATTTTATCCTATGAGACATTTGTGTGAAATTCTGTCATAATTAGCATATAAAGTTATGGCCAAACATGCTTTGTGAGGTCACAGTGACCTTGATCTTTGAATACCAAATTCTAATCAGTTCATTCTCATGTCCAAGTTGTCATTTGTGCCAAATTTGAGGAAATTCTTGAGTTAACAGAGTCATGAGAATGAAATGGACACAAAGTCACAGTGACCTTTGACCCTAAACATTTGATAACTTAGTCCTTGGGCCCAAGTGGACGTTTGTGCCAAATTTGAATACATTTCCTCAAGGCGTTTTTGAGATACCACATTCACAAGATTAAGACGGATTAAAGGTCACAGTGACCTTGACCTTTGACCACCAAAAGGCATAAAAAGTCATAGTTAAGTATGCAATAAAAACGTAATTAAAAGTCATAGTTTAATTTTATCAAATATATAAAAAGTCAAAGTATAGTACGTCATATAAAATATCATATAAATGTCTGTATAGTATGTCATAAAATAGTCTATTATATATTCTGATTCAGAGTGACTTGAGAACGAGCAGCAGAGTCAGCTGACATCCCTAAAAAAAAATCTTTTTATTACTAATAGTATCAATCATCATTAAATGAAGTCATAAAATCTGTTTAAATGTTTGGTAATTTTCTTCTTGAAGTGTAATCATATGAATCAAATAACGGATAGTGCAAAAGTCAAACTCATAAATGTGACAAATAAATCTGTGCTCCTGACTATCTCACGCATTCTGCAAGAGTGTAAGGGAAAGAAGTAAGAGCCAGGGAGAAATGTCAGAAATCTTGAATTCCTATAAACAAAACGGGAACATGAGGTTCAAGTCAGGGAGAAACTCCAGATGACAGCATTTATTTGGTTTTCCTGAGAAGAGGAGTTCACTGTGTGCTATTTAAAGTTTACATTTATCTCACATAAATCAGTCAGATGCGCCAGGTTGCTGAGATTTACAGAGTTTAGATAAATGTCTCTTTTTGAGATATACAGTAATAACATTTAAGTAACTGTGGAAAGGTTGACTAGCTGGCAGAGGGAAAAGGCCGTCGTCAGGGAAGAGAAGAGCTTGTTAGCCCCCAGACAAAACACACCAGCCGTTTGCCAGTTTTGTCATCTGGGATCCCTCTGCACATCCCTCTGTGCACACACACACACATGCACACACACACTGATAATATCTGGAGGGTTGCAGTTAACAAAAACATCCCGTGTAATCAACATCTTCATGTGACAAACATATTCATAAGTGGTCTAAGTAATACTCTGGCAGGCAGTGACAGAACACATGCCAGGGTTAAGCTAAGGTCACCAGAACATATCAGGCGCTCAGCTGAGAAGCACAAAGAAAGAAAAACAGATGAGAGATTAGATTTCGCTCAATTGTAATCACTTGAATGTTCATCTACATTCTCTCTTCAGGTGGGTCTTTCCTGGGGGGGTTAAGCTTTCTGTTTTGTTTGTTAGTTTGTTTCTGGCTGCAGCAACAGGAAATAGTTTGGAGCACAGAAAGAGTAGTCAGTATGAGCGGAGACACTCAGCACACAAACAGGAAGGACAGAAAACAGCAGCATGGAATCCAAAGTCCTGACAGCACCAGTCAGACTAATGCAAGGTGCACTCATCAGCAGAAACGGCACCATTTTGTCAAAATAAGAGCAAAACATAAACCACTTTAAAGAATGAGTTCACTCAAATTAAGTTTTGAGATCTTTTTCTCAAACATGTAGCCTACTAGGGATAGTTCAGATTTTTCGGAAGTGGGTTGTATGGGGTACTTATCCATAGATAAGATTATCCATCTATTGTATATTACAACCACTGGATGTCAGTCGGCACGCTCCAAGTTTGGAGAAGCAGGCCGGAGTCTGACATAGGAGCCAGGCAATCTACTGCTGTAGATGATGTCAGCAACACAAAGCTTTTGAGTCACCTAAAAGGAATTATTATCAGTTTAAGCGTACACTATATTTAGACTATTTTCACTGCTGTCAAACAGTGATTTCCGACAGAGATATTAAGCCCTTTTATCGCTCTCTTCAAGGCCAGACTTCCTTGAGACTTGGAATTAACGCCCTGCAGCTGTATGCCTCTGCAAACCCATCAAGTTGCAAAAACATGAATGCTTCACACACATCTTCCCCCAGGCAGCACAGAAGATCTACACAATTTCGAGATGGGCACCCAAGATTAGTGTCACCAATTCAATATCTGGCTGCGATATGACGTTGAATAATGGCCAGAAAAGTGTTTTTACAGAAAATGATGATGTCGCTGTGAAGTTGACCTTTGACCTTTTGGATATAAAATGTCATCACTTCATCATCTTATCCTGTTAGACATTTATGTGAAATTCTGTCATAATTAGTGGATGGATTCCTGAGTTATGGCCAAAAGCATATTTTGTAGGGTCATAGTGACCTTTGCCCTTCAACCACCAAATTGTGGTCAGCTCATTCTTGTCTCCAAGTTGTTGTTTATGGCAAATTTGAGGTATTTCCCTAAAGGCCTTCTCAAGTTAGCACAGTCACGATAGTGTGATGGACACAAGGTTACAGTGACCTTCACCTTTTACCCCCAAATCTGATCAGTTTATCCTTAAGTCCAAGTGATCATTTTTGCCAAATTTGAAGAAATTTCCCCAAGGTGTTTTTGAGATATAACATTCACAAGAATTAGATGGAAAAAAGGTCACAGTGACCTTGACCTTTGACCATCAAAATCTAAATAGTTCATCCTTGAGTCCAAGTGGATCTTTGTGCCAAATCTGAAAAGTTGCTTCAAGGTGCTGTGGAGATACTGTGTTCACTAAACTGCGATCGAAAAGGTCACAGTGATCTTGACCTTTGATGACCAAATTCTAATCAGGTAATTGTTGACTGAGAATTGGTATTTGTGCCAACTTTAAAGGAAATCCCTCAAGGTATTTTTGAGATATTGCCTTGCAAGAATGAGATGGATGCAAGGTCACAGTGACCTTGACTCTAGACCACTAAAATCTAATCAATTTATTGTTCAAGCGTTTTATGCAGGACATTATGATGTCACAGTAAAGTTAACCTATGACATGTTGGATATAAAATATCATCACTTCATCATTTTATCTTATTAGACATTAGTGTGAAATGTTATCATAATTAGCATAAGACTTCTTGAGTTATATACATGTTTTGTTGGGTTCCAGTGACCTTGACTTTTGACCAGTTCATCCCTGAGTTCATGTAGATGTTGGTACTAAATGTGAAAAAAATCCTCTCATGGCGTTCTTGAGATAGTGCTTCACGAAAATGGGATGGACACCCAGAAAACATAATGCCTCGGTCCATCGCCAGTGTATTGATTTTTTTTAAGCGGAACTTTAGGAGGTTAAAGTATGGTTTGTTGCTACCACCATCCACTGCAGTACATTGCTCATCTTCCGTGTCAGTACTCCTGCTGCTTCTTCAAAATGGGGATGTGCCGACAGACATCTCTTGTATGTAATACACTGACTGTAACTGTACACTGAGTTCAAAAAAACTATCCCTGCAAAGTTTCCAGACCTCAGGAAAGTGAGTTAAATGACCAGTCACAGGTCAGTGACGAGACAGGTTGATTTCGGGTGACTCACCGAGGTTGCAGGCCTGGCTGGTGAGGGCGTAGAGCTGCTGCTGGTAGGCCCACTCCTCGTCGTTGGGGGCGGAGATGATGAACAGGCGACGTCTCCAACGGAACCTGCAATCACAGAAAATTTCAGCCTGGATTTAAGTGGCACTTTGGTGCGGCAGTGAAAGCTCTGCGCTAAGACAAGGAGTTTGTGCTTGTACACCAACATGTTCCCATACTATTACTGCCAGAGGGTGACAACCCCGAATTATGGTCAAAAACCTGCCAGATCTCAGCGCTGTGATCTGAAACTAAAATTCTGGTCTCCATGGTAACAAAAGACAGCCTGTCTGGTTTAGACATCTCAGGAAAATATGTGACTGCAGTGATTCAGCCTCGAGGTACTTTTTGTTGTTACTTTTAATATCCATGGGACACACACACACACACACACACACACACACACACACAAACAGGCTGCCGCGCTCTGCCAGATGCTTCTTATGAACGCTGTAAATTATGATCCAGCTGATTATTGAGCAAAGAAACAGCTGTTTGATGGGAGCGGAAACAGCCTGGTGAGACCACCCAATAATTCTGACGACCAACTCCTCAGCAAAACATTTAACTAAGAAAATATGTATGACAGCTTTATTAAAGCCCATTCCAATGAATAAATATCCACACACAGTGTGCCCTTTCAGGTGGCTGGTGGCTGTTTTAATGCATGTTAAAATAAATATTACATGGTCATACTCTAAATACTTAAAGGGCAACTTTGATGTTTTTCAACCTGGACCCATTTCCCTATGTTTTGTGTCTAAGTAACTAAGGAGACAACTATTTTTGAAACTGACCCAGTGTTGAGTGAGATGCCTGCAGCCAGCACTGCGAAACAGACTGTAATGTAACCACTCGGGGCATTTGTGCACCGTCAATTTATGTCCACTAAAAGACATTGTTTTTGCCACTGACAGGCTCAGACTGTTATTCTAAGCATCTGACAACATTTTGGAAAGGATCCCTACAGAGATAGACCTTTTTGTTAAAGAGAAAGGATCCCTTGCCTCCAGAAATCACTATCACCAAACCAACCAGACTCCATTTAAATAAACAGTGATTTTAGTGTGTATAGATGCAGCATATGTTCACATCTAACTAATAAATTAAACGTTTAGTTGGTGACTGTTGGAACAGTGTAGAGAGTAGGGCTGCACGATATTGGGAAATATCCAGGTCAATTCACACACTTGTGAGTAAAGCATATAAGAGGAGAGGTGAGGGCTCCGTCTGATCTCTTCATAAAGTAAAGTTATATTATTTTGCGCGAGGGACTCTTCATATAATAACATAACAATCTACTATTTATCGTGTTATACGGTGAAACGTTTCACCTGAAAACGTGATGACTTACATTGATATATTGTTATTATATAGTATATTGCGCACACACACAGGTAACCGAGCCCGGCCCAACCCGCAGCACGGCACTGTACACACAGTCAATGGAGCGGAGCCTGTGTTGTGTTCAGGCATTGTCACGCAAATAACAAATTCCAGCACTTGAATAGGCCGTTTATTCTTTATTCCACTTGTTTTGTTGGTCAGTGATTAAAACGGAAGTGAGTTTTACGCGCATCACTCTGCAATTTATTTGTGCAGGCTTAATTTAATTAGGGCAAGCCACATTGCAAGCCCCGCGATGTAAATATTGCACACATGTGCATCGTGATGGCAATGCTTAAAAGATATATCGTTCAGGCCTAGAAGAGAGACAAACTGAAACTTTTTTTGTGAGTTTTATTTTGTTTCTGTTGACTTTGAATTAAGCGTGGTGTACAATGATAGAATTGCTGTTTATTTAAATGGAGACTGGTGAGTTTGTCGAAAGTGATATGGGGCTGTTTCTGGTTAAACAAAAAGGACTGTACCCTTTTTAGGAAAGGGTTTATCTCTGTAGGGATCCTCTCATAACGTTGTGATGAACTTAATTAAACCTGTGTTAATTTAGTTAACAAAAATTGTGACAAAAAATATTAATCAATGACCTAAATCAACAATGTTTCATTTTCGTTGACGAGACAGGACGAATGTTAGCGGTGGACTATCAGACATGCAAAGTGAGAGGAGAGAACTGAATGATTATCTTATGAAACGTTAATTAGAAACCGAGAACAACCGTGCTTGCAATGATCTTCTAATCCCGTATGAACAGTATGAGATCGGGGTGCCAACAGGCTGTAAACTCCAGTAAATAGTCACTGCAGGGATGTTTCACTACCCTGCAAAACACTCACAGCGGAGCATCATCAGCTGTTGGTGTGAGTTGTGAGCTGTTATTCAGTAGTAAATAAGCAACCGTGTGTGTCTGACTGTGTATGGTGGAGCTGCTAAATGGATTTGTGGAGTTAGATGCAGTGTGACTGCAGTCTGATTCACCATGGACATTACTGACGGTGCACAAATGCAACAAGTGGTTACGTTAGAGCCTGCTTCACAGCTGCAGCCCTCTAGCTCAATACTGGACCAATTTTAAAAACAGTGGTGTCCATTAGTCACTTAGACACAAAAACATGGATCCAGGTCGAAAATATCAAAGTCTCCCTTTATGGGGCTTTTTATGGTTTTGGGGAAGTTGCAATCAAGCAAAAACTTATATTACATCAACATAACAATGCTCACGTGCAGAAAGCCAAGTTTGTAAAGTCATGGTTTTCTCAGAAAAGCATGTGTATGAGTCCACAAAGCTGTGGTGTTAGACGTCCACATACTTTGGGCCATGTGGTGTATTTAAAAATGTAGAAAAAAGTTTACCTGGAAAGGAAGTTCTCCAACGATCTGGGCTTGTCCTCTTTCTTACAGACGACCCCGTCTCTCTTCTGCTGCTCCATCTCTCGGATGCGGGAGGAGAAGGTGTCGATGTAGTCGAACACAGCCTTCATGGCGATGGGAACCTCGTAGGATTGCTGAGAAAAGAACATCAACAAGAACCAGTTATACACTCCCAAAGATCAATTCCAAGATGTGGTGAAGCCACAGGATAAATAAATCAATATGCTTGTGAAAAGAAATCTGCAAATGACATGGAGGATATGAAAATAGAGTTTCAATGCTCTAAACAATGGTGAAACTGTTTCCAATAGAGTGATGGAGTGAAGTTTTGGAACATGTTGGTCGATGTGCGGTCGCCTTTTTCCACATCACAAACATTCTTCATAATAACTTCTGGGAAGCAGCACAAGGCGTATCGGTTAAACATAACACAGCATACCAGTTAATTTATGAAATACTAAACAATCTCAGCATGAATATGTAACATAGCCACACACACACACTCTCACACCTTCCTCGGGATATGCTGAATCTGCCGCACGGCTCGTTCTAACTCTTTCACACCTCCCTCCGCTCGCTCCCTCTGCCACTTTCTGTCTCATACCCACACCCACATCCTTGTGCGCTCACAGACTGCCCTGTCTCTGCCTCTGTCAGCAGAGAAGTGAACACTGGCCTCTTTGATGAGTTGGTCCAAAAACAGCCTGGTGATTTACCCTGGCATGCACACACACATACACACACACTCAGGTGTGGGGCAAATGTCATGTAGTGTGAATTAAAACAGTGTTTTAGTGAAGGCAGCATGCTGGCAGTGCGAGGACAGGTCAGTCCACCTTCAAAGAGAAACACAAGATGAAAGTTTTTGGGGAGGAGGGTGGTGAACCTGTAAACACAGAGCGGAGGCCAACAGGACAGCGGAGCCACGAATAAAACAGGAACACGGCTAATTTATGGGAATTAACCAGAACAACATCTAAAAGAGTACAAGTATTTTAACTTAGAGGGAAAGTTTGACTCAAGTCATATTCAGATAGTTAAAATATAACGGCTTGTTCAAATTCAGGATCCTTTAAAAGATGTGGTCCATAAAAGAATGAGGGCTGGGGAGCATCAGACAATTATGTTCTCCAAGTTTAAGGGAAAAGCTGGAGGAGCCTTTGAAATTAGGCAGACCTCAACATATTCTGAGCAGGGGCTGCTACCCGGCCAACATTTGTATGCCGGGCGCAGGTGGGTAGAAAATAGGCTGAAAAATGGGCCCTATATGGGATTGTCCGTGGGTTCCATAGCGGCTCCGTGCCACTTCCCACAAGGCTTTCATGCAGGGTTACACTGGGTGTTAGATGGGCCTGAACTGGGCAACATACGCAAGACCCATCTCGGTCCCAGCTTTAAATTCTATGTGGGGACTACATGGCTGAAATATGGGCTGTAAATGGGTTTGTCCAAGGGTCTGATGTCGGCCCCATGCCACGGGCCCACAAAGTTTTGCAGGGTTACACTTGATGGACAAACATCTGGACAAACATCTGTCGAACCTGTGCAGCAGTACAATTACCTCGTTACTGTCATTGATAGCAAGCTGTGCTTTGAGCCCCAAGTTGATGTTGTATGTAAGAAAGGACATCAGCGCATGCACTTTTATCGCAAGCTTCGCACTTTTAATGTTGACACCACTTTTATGAAAATGCTTTATTCCTTTTATTGAATCTGTTCTTACGTTTTCATTTATCTGCTGGAACAGGTCACTTTCTTTTAAACAAAAAAAAACTCGCCTGCAAGGCACTGTGAAGGTGCGCAGCAAAATTGCTGGAGCACCCTTAAATGACCTCCATGACCTGTATCAGGTCAGGTACATGAAAAAATCTAAATGTATCCCGGCCGACCCAAGCCATCCACTAAGGGACAATTCTGTGCTGCTACCATCAGGGCGCAGATATAATCTCCCCTGATGCAGAACAAATCGGTTAAAAAAGTCATTTATTAAATACCGATTCTAAATGTACTTGTGTATTCTTTTATGGTTGTTTATTTATTTGTTGTGATAATTGTTGTCTTTGTTTTAACTGCTGGCTCTAACGCAAATTGACCCTCCGGGATAATAAAAATTCCTTGAACCTTGAACGATACCCAAATGGGCTCAAAGTAAGATGGCCATTTCCGGCCCATACTCACTTGGTACCCAGGTAGCTCCAGCACAACGCTGGAAGCCTCCTCCTGGCTCCTGGAAGCCACGGGAGGATTTGTTGGGTCTCTTTTACTGAGAATGGCAGGTGAACAGGACTTTTCCTCGATGTTGCATTGGTTAAAATAAATAGATTTCTGTCAGAAAGGGCTTTTTTGAGGAACCGTACAAGGAAAACTTCTCCCATATGCACGATCAACTTCCTGTGCTCCTTGTCCTTGCTATGCAGTTTTATATTTAAAAAAAGGTGGCTAAAGTGAAGATAAGGGTAATGGGAAGGGTTAAATCTTGTTACTTATAAAGTGAATCACGTCTTCATGTGTTATGAATTATAAATTGCTACACTTGGTCTCATTTATTCATTACAGTGTAGCACTGTAAAAGGGTCAGATAGCTGCATTGGTGGGTTTCTCTGGTGGGTATATTTTATAGGGGCAGGTCCTGCATGCTACAAACAGAATGTGTCCGAGGCTCTACACGTCTCACATACTCTGTCTAAAAGGACTGTGGAGGATCTATAGAGAGTGAGGCCTTACCTTGACTCTCATGTCAGAATCGGTGAGGACCATGTAGAAGTCATCATGTGTCATGCTGAACTCTTTCCTCAGCTCTGTGATCAGATCCTGGTTCACCAGGTCCTCCTGACGAAGGCCCTTCATAGGTTTGTCATTTTCTGGAAAAAGAAACAGTGGGACAGATATCGTGAGATAGCTTATATTTGTTTTCTCACACTATTTGATTGTGAGGGTTAATTAATGGAGCCGTTCTTCAATTGTTTTTTTGTGGAGAAAAGGATTGTGTTCCACAGCATACTCACTAGAACCAGTGGAACCTAAACATAAGAACATAGAAGATACGGTAACTTCTGACATGTCAGCTTTACTTTTGTTTACCAACCATGATAACGTCCCAACAGATGGTATTGTTTTTTTTATCTTGTGAGTCTGTGTGTGTGTGTCATCATGGTAAAATGTGAGTATTTTGCCAGGTGTTCACGAGGGCTGTTCCCTGAAAGCTAAAGACTCAAATCATCAGTCAGAGACCCCTCAGTTCACTAACATTTTTCAAGCAGCAACTTTTCTGGCCATTATTCAACGATATATCTCAGGACCAGACCAAATACCGAATTGGTGACTCTAATTTTTGGTGTTCACCCTGAAACTGTGCTGATTGTATGGATCCCCTGTGCTGCCGGGGGGAAAGAAAGGTGTATGTGAAGCATTCATGTTTCACAAACATAAATGTAAACTATGAGTGCAACTCAATACGTGGTGGCGAACAACTACAAGGAATACTTCTAGTTTACCCTTTATTTAAATAAAAAGGTCTCATTGAGATACAATATCTCTTGTGCCAGGGAGCCCTGATGATGGGAGGGGAAATATATTAAAAAAAGGTTCAAATGAAAATACAAAAAAGGGCAGATGACATCACAAAACAACCCAAAACACAACAATAAACACAAGACACCCAGTAATCAGGGGGAGAATCATGGCAAATAATGGCACTTGTTAAAAGCAACATCACTGCTCCATAAAAACTGATTTTAAAGTACTTTCAAACATGTCAAGACTAGAGAGGGTAAAGTTTCCAAGTCTAGTGTGCCTGCAGCTGGATATGGTGCTGCAGAGTGAAAAATGTAAATCTGACAAATGTTTTGTTCATGAGACTGTCACATCTGACGAATAAAAGCTTTTACACAACTAAAGAAAAATCACATTACTGTCAGATCTTAATGCAAAATGATGTACAGTTGTGATGATAAGCTTTCCCATCAAATAAACCATAATAAAGCAAACACAATGTGAGTTTGCAGCTCTGAAACATGAGGAGTAAAATGTGTTTTCCATTGCTAAACTCAAAACAAAGTGCCTTTGAAAAAAAATGTGTCTGACATGACAGTGAAGTGGACTCGGCAGAATGCAAACAGGCAGAGTGAATCAGGGACAGACTCCACAGAGCAGCTTTTATTCACTGAGATCTGGCTCTGAAATCTACTGTAGCTGGCCTTTATACAGACCAAAGCAAAAGCCTTTAATCACCACTCCCTCTGTGCATGTGTGCACGACACACACACACACACACACACACACACACACACACACACACACACACCACAGAATAGTGTTTTTTGGTCGCTGGTCCATCCTCTCTGTGTCATGTAATGTGTATGAGCAATTAAACCAGGAAAACCCCGGCACATGTTGGACACAGCCGACACAGACTGAACACACAGACATGCTGTCCACCAACCAACAAACTTAAAACTCTGTGAGGTCACTCTGAACTGAGGGAGGGGCTACACTGAAAGGACTAGTTGTTTGTATACAGTACGTGCTCACACACACACACACACACACACACACACTACTACACACACACTGACCTTCTGGCCGGTAAGTGGAACAAAACTGTAACCGAGTCCGACCATGGGTGGGGGCGGGTGACGTCACCTCGGTGCTTTTTCCAGCATTCCATCTGGATAAAACCTCGTTGTCATGTGGAGTGACAGACTCATAAAGTTTTACAAAGTGGGTTTGCATGTCCTGAAGTTAACACTCACTAACCCAAGCCTTGGGTTTGGGACAGCTATAAACTTTCTCAAAGTACGAGGGGCCGCCAAGCACAAATGACACAGCGCGTTTCATAAAAACAGCAGTGGTTTTGTTCCTTTTGAACAAGTAGCTGGAGGCTGCTTCATAAAAAGGACATTTTATTAAAAAAGCGGTCATAATTGCACTGAGTGAATGTGTGTGAAATGGGTTAACTGTCTTCAGCTTACGCATCAGCTCCAGGGGAGGCAGACTTGCCCCCTTGTTTAGGATGATACACAAGGAGGGTATGTACTCTGACACACACAGACCCCTGTACTGTAACAGCTCATCTAATTTCCTACAGAAAGACCCACACACTCCTATTTCATCACTAAGAATGCAATGAACGTGTGACCTTTCAAAGTGATATAAAAGTACTGTTACCACAGGGTTACATGCAAATTAACGTCAGACCACAGAAGTCAAGATCATAGGAGTCAGATGTCAGCTCTGTCTATTATCACCTGCACAGAGAGACACACAATACTGTGGCTTTTGCAGAGCGAACGTACAGTCTGAATGTTATACTTGGAGCAGAGATCATTGTCGAAAGCATCTAGTTTGACATCATGCGAGAAAGGTAAAACAAGGACAGGCCAGCAGACGTGGCCTCTTCTGATCTCCACTCCTTAGTACGGAGAACATTTTCACAATAGCATTTCCCCTGAACTTAGTGTAGCTTTTACACATCGAGTGAAAATGTGACTGAAGAACAGCAATGTTCTCAAGTCATTGAGGACTTGAGTCATTGACAAAATACAATTACCACCTCTCATTTGTATGCCTCCGCAAACCAGTCAAGTGGCAGTTTGCATCCATGTCTGTGAAAACATGGATGCTTCCCCCCGGCAGCACAGAAGAGCTACACAATCAGCACAGTTTGAACACCCAAGATTAGAGTCACAAATTCATCAATTCATTTATCTAACCAAATCTCTCCCCTTCTGTTCCTGAGTAATGACAATGAATAATGGCCAAAACGAGTGTTTTTGCAGTCACAGTGAAGTTGACCTTTGACCTTTTGGATATACAATGTCATCACTTTATCATTTTATCCTGTTAGACACTTGTGTGAAATTTTGTAATAATTACTGTATGAATTCTTGAGTCTTGGCCAAAAACGTATGATCAAAGTGACCTTCAACCACCAAATTCTCATCAGTTCATTCCTGAGTCCAAGTTGACATTTGTGCAAAATTTGAAAAAAATTCCCTTAAGACGTTCTTAAGATATCACTTTCATGAGAATTTGATGGATGTGGTCCAGTGACCTCGACCTTTGACCACCATTTTCTGATTCTTCATCTTCATCTTTCACTCAAAGTGGACGTTTGTGCCAAAAGGTGTTTTTTTTTTTTTAAAGATATTTTTTTGGCATTTTTTGCCTTTAATGGACAGGACAGTTAAGTGTGAAAGGGGGAGAGAGATGGGGGGATGACATGCAGCAAAGGGCCACAGGCTGGACAGCCTTGTACATGGGGCTCCTGCTCTACCACTAAGCCACCGACGCCCCCAAAAGGTGTTTTTGAGATATTGTGTTCACAACAATAAGTCTGATGCAAGGTCACAGTGGCCTTTGACCACCAAAATCTTACCTGTTCAAGTCCAAGTGAACGTTTGTGCCAAATTTGAAAAAAAAAAAAAGAAAAAAAAAAATTCCCTCTGAGTGTTCTTGAGATATCAGTCGCAAGAAAGAGACAGGTGAGATCATTGTCACCTTTACCTTTGTTCACCAAATCTGAATTAGTTTATAGTTGAGTTTAAGTGAATGTTTGTGCCAAATTTGAAAAAAATCCCTCTGAGTGTTCTTGAGATATCAGTCACAAGAATGAGACAGATGACATCATGGTCACCTTGACCTTTGACCACCAAATCTGAATTAGTTCATTGTTGAGTTTAAGTGAACGTTTGTGCCAAATTGGAAGGAATTCCTTCAGGGCACTCTTGAAGTATCATGTTCAGGAGAGTGGGACGGATGGACGAACAACCTGAAAATGCAGTACCTCCAGCCACGGCTGTTGCAGAGGCAAAACAACAAAAATAAACATTGTTTTATTGTTGCTTTAGTAAAATTCAGCCGGTATAATATTACTGGGATATTTTGCGTCGTGGGGCTATAAAGTGAATGCACGAGAGACTTACGTTGACCAAGTGTCTAACTTCTGGTTTAGCACTCTGCTAACTTAAATGGTGATAAAATTATTTTAACATGTGGCTTTTCTAGACGTTAGAAACATTATTGGATCACATGGGTTTATGTAACACTGATCAATCTGCACAAAGACAGTCAGCTGCTATATTTACAATATTTTGATACTTTTTGAGAGTTTCAGTTCTGAATGTGATTTTTACATTTTGCCTGAGATGAGGAGAAAAGAGTTGAGTGCTCACAAAATCTAAACAACAGCTTTCTTCATTAAAATGTGAAAAACATCCACTGAGATTTCAGATTCTCATAAACAGTTATTCTGGGTAGGTGCATGACTCAGAAACTGCAACAAGCGCTGACAGCCCAGCGGAGGATGCATTTGCCCAACCAGATGGAAGGGTTGGATGAGTTAACGCTGGTGTCTGAGAGAACTGCCAATCATCTCCTCTGCACAGTTACAAACAAATGGCTGCTTTTAAACCTTCACAGAAGACGACGAGAGAAGTGAAACTGTGTGCTAGTTACCTAGCTGGTAGTGGTCGATCTTCATGGTGGAGTTGGTCAGAGAGCCAAAGATAGTGATGATAGAGACTTTCCTGATGGCCATTTCACACACAGACTCCAGGTACTCGTCCCTCTGCTGAGCATACATACTGTTCTCCTCACTGGGGGATGTAATCAGCTGCAGGGAAGGAGAGAGGTTAGAGTGTCATGTATATACAATGAAACCACGCACACACACAGATATACACACACTGTACACACCCACACATATACACAGTGTGCTGCAGAGGTGATGTTTACATGAACCTGCAGGCAGAGGATTGGGCCTGCCCGCAGCACTGCTGTGATAAGAATCTATAATGGCTGCAAAGCGGAGACGCAGAGTCTGTTAGCACACAGCTGTGCAGCCTGTCAGATCGCTGCTCCACATACTTTATGCCTGTTCAGATTACAAACCACTTCAGTGTGATCATAAAGCAGAGACATCATAGAAACTAAATGGGGAAATGAGGGGATGATTTGCAGCCCCAAAGCACAGAGGTGTTTACCGATTTGTTGACCGGCAAAAATGAATCAACAATAGATTACTTCTCCAGATGTTGAGATCTTTTGGCGTTCTGAACTTCCAGAACTTTCCAGTACTGTGTTTTGGAAAACAAACTCCCTCTTATTGGAGTTGGAATATACTGTAGATCACCTCCTCCTGCTCCACAACTCATGTTGGCTCAAAACTCTGAAGCTAGTTAAAAGAAAAGCAGAATCCAAGACAAAGTAATTTTGTGAAGTATTTATGATTGCAAAATTTAATGGTTTCACCAGACATTGCTGTTGGATCGCAGCGCTAATTAGCTTGTTAACTTGTCTTATTGTGAAAAGATGATTTTTATTACTGATGCAGAAAACTCAATGATGAAAATGTACTTTACAGGAAGAGTTCAACAATCTGGGAAATATGCTTAATTTGAGAGTTATATAAGAGAGCTAATACCAAAGTCCTACATAGGTACATGAAATGAAACTACAGCCAGCTGCCAGTTAGCTTAGCTTAGCATAAAGACTGGAATCAGAGGGAAACTGCAAATAATCAACACGTCAAATCTTAAATGTTTTATCCACATGAAAACTGAGAGGTAAAAATGACACATTGTGGTTTCATGGACAGTTATGTGCTGAACTATTTCTCGGCTGAGCACAGTGACTTCTTGATGTCACAGTTGGTTGCCTGGGAGGAAGTAGCTGTGGTTGGCAAGATCTAACTTGTTAATTTGTGAGCTTTAGGGCAGTGGTTCCCAACTGGTTCAGCCACAGGGTTTACACAGTAATATATTCACTGCATACTTGCGTTTGGCCATGTCGTCATGCTAGTTTGCTGTCTTTGTAAAGACGCTGTCCATTTGTCAATCACTCTACAGCAGGAAATGACACTTCAAAATAAAAACTATGTGCAAGAAATTCACTGTACGTAAAAATAAAGTGTGTTTTTTACAAACTTGACATGTTGACACGCAAGTCACTTGTGGTCCATTCAGAATGGACCCGCGATCCACTTTTGGACTGCGACCCACCAGTTGGGAACCACTGCTTTAGGGCAAGGTCACACGAGTGAATGCAGGTGAGTGAGCACCACCTGCAAGACAATTTCTGTGCTGAATGTGACGCATGCAGAATGCTAGCTTGCTACTTGCATGCTTGTCTCTCGACCATGGACTATAAAATAATGGATAAAGCTATTGTGATGTCAGTCACTGGGTTGTAGTTTGTCGAGTTCGGCATTTTGGCCATCACCATCTTGAATTTTTTAAACCAAAGGTGACCATATTTGGAAGTTGGGGGTGGATCTGACTGAAAAGCCGAAGACATTATCGTCAGACAGCCTGTCAATCAAAGGAGCCCCAACCTTAATTAGGCATAACTTTAAGCCTCATTAAAATGTTAATGGTTAAATTACGTAAAAATTCACCCCCATACAGTTGTCATGAACGGGGAAATTCGCTCTAAAGATCAAAACCATTTTTATTTCTGCTGTAAAGTTGGACATGTTAACATAGAGGTCTATGGGGACTCGCTCTTGGGGCCAGCCTCAAGTAGCCATTAGAGGAACTTCAGTTTTTGGCAACGCTGTGCTGGCTTCATTTTTCAGCCCCGGAGGTTGCCACTTGGGCAACAATCAGTGTCTCTTCCATACATACTTCTTTGCTATTGGTTGAGGCTGCAACTTTGCTAATCAGAGTTCACCATAGCTGATCTCCACCCAATATGAAGACAAAAATTTGCATTGCCACTGGAAGAAAATGTTTGGTTTGCCCCTTTGCTTGCATTAAATGGAAGGCAAATTTCCACCAATGTGTAACAACGTACTTTAAAGTTCATGTTCTTTTTAAGCTCTGTATGCTAAGCTAAGCTAACTAGCAGCTGGCTGTAGTTTGTATTAAAGCGAGTGGTATCAATTTTCAATTTTCTTATCTAACTCTTAGCAAGACAGCTAATAAGTATACTTCCCAAAATATCAAACTACACCCTCACAGCAGTGCAGTTTAATACTGCACCTGAGCACTAATATTTCCTTCTGACCGAAGCCTGAAACTGAACAGTTGCCAGACGAGTGAGGCAGTGGGCCTCTTGTGAACTGTGAGTTATGTCATGCTCTCACCAGCAGCCGCCTCCTGTTCTCAAAGTAGTCTAGGAAGGAGGCCAGAGATCCCTTTGGAGGGGGCGTTGGCTTCTTAGTGGGTTTCGGGTAGTCCTCTTTCTCAGGGTACTTTGACAGCTTCTTTCCATTTTTCTTTCCCCCAATCTTCCCTGCCTTTCCACCTCTCCTCTCCCCTTTCTTGGCAGCCTTGTCAGCCTTTTTCTTCTTCTTGTCTTGCTTATCGTGCTTGCCCTTGACCTTCTTGGTGGGACTGATGTCGGTGAAGGTTTCTGTCTCCTCAGGATCACTGACTGTTGGCTTGCTTGGTTCATACTTGTCCTCGTACTCATTAGTCAACACCTGCACAGATAAAACCACGTTATTAACTGATAAATTAATTGTCCACATTTTTTATGTTAAAACATTTCCATCACAGACTGAAATAACATGATAATGCTTTAGCCTATACCTAGTTCCAAAGAACATAGAGTTCCCTGACGAAAAAGAAAAATCCTCTTGTGCACCCAAAGTGAAGCAACAGTAGTTAATTTGGCAGTCAGCATCACCAGTAAAACCCACACATCCATTAGAGTTAGCAGTTCAATTTAAGAGGCCCATTCCTGAGCCATATAAACTCTATTACTAAGCAAATAAGACAAAGGACCCTTCTTTACACAGTTTACCAGGGCTGAATAGATGAAGAAAAGTCTGATCCCCACAGAAACTTCATCAACACACAATCTGAAGACTCCTGGTTGTATGCCTCTGCGAGCCAGTCAAGTTGAAGTTACAGTTTATATTCATGTCAGTGAAAACATGGATGCTTCACACACAGAAGATCTATACAATCAGCACAGTTTCAAGATTAGAGTCACCAATTCAGTATCTGACCTAATGTCTCCCCTTCCGTTCCTGAGATATGACATTGAGTAATGGCCAGGAAAGTGTTTTTGCAGAACATTATGATGTTACAGTGACCTTTGACCTTTTGGCTATAAAATGCCAACACTTCATTATTTTATCCTGTTAGACATTTGTGTAAAATTTGGTCATAATTAGTGTATGAATTCTTCACTTATGGCCAAAAACATGTTTTGTAAGGTCACAATAATGCCCTCAGCCATGGCTAACACCTGCGCGGAGGCATAGAAAAGACAAATCATCACGTTAGCAGACTGCTAACGTGACAGTTTTGTAGAAAAATGTTCACAGTTTCAAAAGGATTCAACGTAATGATCAGTGTGACTATTTTAGCTAACCTTTATGAGCATATAAAACACTACGGTTTCAAAGGTGATACACTAAAGTGGCTAATGAGTAGCATGAAAGAAAGAGAGGAATATGTATCAAGAAATGGATGTGCTTTAAACACTGTTCACATAGCATGTGGTGTACCACAAGGATCTATTTTAGGACCCTTAATATATCTTATTTACATTAATGATTTTTCAGTTCTTTGTAGTTTTCTGGTCCCATTTTTTTTACTGATGATACCAACATGATTTTGTCACATGCTGATGTACACACTCTAATAAAATACACACATGAGGAAATGGTAAGTTGAGTTGCAAGATAGTTTCAACTCAATAAGCTCTCATTAAATGTTAAAACATCAAATTTCATTATATTTGTGTCAAGTAGCAGGAGGTATGATAGGGATTTTGCTAGAGTTTAAATAGATGGGGAAGAAATTTCTCAAGTCTATTACACATTTTTAAGGCATTTTAGTTGAAAAAAACTTGAAAAAAACACATTAATCTTATTTGTAACAAAATTGTGAGGTCACTGGGGATCATCAGCAAACTACAAAGTTTTTTTTAAATGTGTCTTGTTTATTAACTTTACATTATTCCATGATTTATCCCTATCTGATGTATGGTAATATTTTGGGGGCAAATACATACCCCAAAAATCTGCAAAAATGATTTATAAGATTGTCAACTTTCTTAAAACTTTAACAAGGCTTCTGTTCCACTGTTCAGGAAACTGAACCTTCTTTCGGTATATGATGTAAATATTGATCAGATATACGTATGTTTACAAATATATTTTCTTACCTTCCTCTCTACCATTATCGTTTAGCAAATTCTTTAAATTTAATTCACAAATTCATTAATATAATACTAGACAGGTTAATCAGTTCCACCTTCCTTTTTACAGAACGACATATGTGCAGTACTCCCTATCATTGTGTGCAGATCTGGAACACCAAAGTACCTGTTTTCAAGAGCTAATTATCCTCAGAATAATTAGGAAGTTTATTTGTATAAACCTGCGGCTTCTTGACCTCTCCTGATACATTTCTTATTTCTACAACCAAATGGATTCTATGCAGTTTTGTCTGTGCATATAAAAAATAAAATAAAAATATACATTTCCAAAACTAACTGAAGGATGGTTTTAGTGCTAATGTTTTTTACAGAATGAACCCCATACACTTTTACCTCACCTTCTCTCCCCCATTCTTCCTCTTAGTAGGTTTGATCTTAGAGGGTTTATGTGTGGAAGGTACCAGCTTGCGGCTGTGTGGATCTCTGTTCTCCTTGTCGGTGCGGTTATCTCCAGCCGGGGTGGTTTTAGCTGGATACCTCTCCCCCTCTCTGTGGTTGTAGTCGTAAGGATCAGCGGTGGTTCTTGGAGCAGGCAACCACAGGGCGGTGGTGTGGGCTTTGGTTGGTTTCTGGGTGGTGGTGGTGGTGGTGGTGGTTGTGGTGGGTCGTTTCGTGGTGGTTCTTCTAGTGGTGGTGGTAGTGGTTGTTGTTGTTGCTTTGGTTGTGGTTGTTGGTCTGGTTGTGGTGGTGGGGGGCCGGGTTGTAGTCGTTGTGGTGGTGGTGGTAGTTGTGGTGGTTGGTCGTGTGGTTGTTGTGGTGGTGGTGGCAGCTGTGGTTGTGGTTGCGGGCTTTCTGAGGATCTTCTTCCCTGGTTTTCTTTCTACTGGTGCATCAACTGGTCCAGACAGAGACACATAACAGATAAAAGACTTCCCTCCAAAGGCTTCCTACTAGTTTTTATTAGTCTAATGGTTTAACTTATATGAATGTGTCAAAACAGATTCTAATGTGAAAAGCCACGAACAGTTATACAGGCACAAATCCTCCAAAGGGTTTTAGTTTTTCAGATACTCCTATCCAAGGCAGAACAAAACACTGTCATATTTTTTCAGAATTTTGACATGTCCCTGTAATTAAATTGTGAATCACAGCAGAAATATTGTGAACAGCAAAATACAGCAAACAGTGATTAAACGGATCAAAGCATTGTAATATAAACATAATAATAACGTCTTCTCACCTGTGAGTGTGCCCTCCTCCACCTGGCCCTCCACACCTGCTGCTCTGCACTTCTGGACGAAGCCCTTCTGTCTCAGCTTCTCCAGCTTCCTCATGGGCGACTGGTCGATCACCTCGTACATGGCCTCCAGCCTCACAGGGTACGGGTACCTCTCCTCCACCTGCAGGGTCTTCTTCAGCAGCACCATCCCAAACTTCCCTGCAGGTCACCACATCTCTCATCACATTTGGGTACAAACTGTTTCAGGTTATCTGTCATGTTTCCACCCAGATGAGGAGTGAGTGAGGTGTGTGCTGTCTTACATGAGCTCAGGTTGGTCACCACAACAGAGACATTCAGACATGATTCATGGATATAGAATAAGTTGGGTCAGTACAACCAATACAAACAGTCACCTCCTTCAGCACCTCCACCCATCCCTTACCTTTCTCCAGTTTGAGGAAGCTCATGAGTCTGGGGATGAGTGCTGTGTCCAGCGGCTCCTCCATCACCTTCCCCTCCGTGGTGATCCTCCTCACCTTGCCCCCCATCTCTCCCTCCTGGTGAAATATGACAATCTGGTGGACATGGCGCTCGGCGAGCTCACAGTACACATCTGGTTTCAGAAGAGACATCATCAGTCTGTAGTAGCCGTCTGAATCATGGGGCGCAGAGATCACCAGGACGCGGTTCTTCCCCGCAAAACTGGCGAGCAGATTTGGTGACCCGGCGCTGTTGGGCATCCGGGCGACCCTTGCTCTCGCTCCTGGAGCGCCCTCATCCTGCAGCATGCCCTGCTGAAGGGGCATGCCGATCTGTCCGGCCACCCCTCTCCTTGGCACTAGACCCTGACCTCCTGCTCTCTTGCCCAACATTGTCCCCGTCCTGCCTGAAACTGGAGCACCCTCGTCAGCCTGCACATCTTCCTCCTTCTTGGAACTGTGCACCGAGATTGCCGAACCAAACCCAGGGCGCATCCGTCCGACTAGGCGCTCCTTGTTCGTTGTGCCCAGCTGGGCACGTCCCAGTCTTGCGCGTCTCTGCAACTGCACCCGCTTGAGGTGAGTCTGTCTGTCGGCTTCGCCTGTCCAGGTTAGCAGATATATCAGAGCTAAAGTGAGAACAAAAGCCCCCCGCATTCTGGCGAGATGTCAGATAAAGCAGGCTAAACACTCACTGAGGGTAAGATAAAGATCCAGTGGTGGAGCCGCGACTCTGGCGCGTCTTTAGTGCATTGGAGGTTGTTAATGAATTAATTCCAGATGAAGACTCACAGAGTGCAACATCGACTCATAACAGTCTGCCACTGATGTGTTTCAGAGCATGCCTTCTGCTGAGGAAATCCACTTCACTCTCTGAGCTGTAATTGGCAGACAAGGCGAATGAGAGAAGAGTTTGTTGTGCGTAAAGTTATATCCAGAACTTCATCTCAGCCACACTTCCGTTTACAGATATAATCCCAGCAGGTCAGGAGGAAAGATCTTCTGTTATATTAACATCCAACACTCTGTAATAATTCCTCAGCCCCAGGGTAAATGAATGAAGTCCTTCGGAGAAAAGTTTTGGACCACGTCACATCTCCAAAACACACTCAGGTTTGCGTTAAAACCCTAATGGTTTAAATGATCCCATCAATATTCGGGTGCTGTTTATATCCAACAAACTGTGAGACGCTCATCTGGCTCTGTGAAGAGGAACCTCCGACACAATGTGAGAAATGTGCACACTGCGCTGAGTCTGCACAGAAAAGCGCGGCTGTGCTCCTCCGCAGGTTCTCCTTGGCAAAACTGAGCTTTGGAGGCTTTCCCAGAAATGTCCACACAAACCTCAGCCTCCGGACTCTTGGCGGCGCAGCGCAGGACCTGCCCCAGGACTGTCTGCTGCCAGCTCAGTCTGCAACACCCATCTCAATACAAATACCTCAGAGCAGAGTTTGGGGGACGGTTTTAGGTTTCAGTGAAGCAAAGCTTATGAAAAAAGCTGACTAAAAGCACTTTGTAGAATATGTGAGAAAAGTCAAACAGTTTGCTCCCCTGCTCGTGCACGCCCGCAGTGATCTGTATGCGACCTGCGGGAGCGCGCACAGCAGCGTAAGGCGAAAACTTTGAGACACTGCGGTGAAGTTAGTTTTAAGTTGGTCACTGGACAGAGATTCAGTCCAGTTAACCCCACACTGTGAGCAGGAGGACGGTGAGCTCACCTCTCAGCCCTCCCTATAACTACTGGAGGCTGACTTAGGGATCATCAGTGTGTTACTGTTCAATAACATAAAACCGATGATCTTTCAATACCTTCATGCTGACCTGCCCCTAATGGTTAAAATTATCCTTTAAAATTATTCTAAATTTGTCTCATGTAGGAACATACATATTTCATTACTATTGTGCAACTCATTTATTTTACATAAATATTTTAATTTTAAATAAAGGCATTTTTTTCAATAACTTCCATGTCATGTGACCCAGCCAGTTAGATTTAATACCAAACTGTATCACTATATAGAACACAAACGACACACCTTATTTAATCTGATAGAAAATAGAAGAAGCACTGAAAATAGGAAGAGGCGGGCCATGTGTTGTTATAACATCTGGTATTGATTCTAATTCACTCGGACATATTACATTGAAGTTATCAAAAAACATGTTTTTTTTTTCCATAGAAATCATCAATTTTTAACAAAATATAATTATATTTTTATAAAATAGGAGAAGCACTATTATTTAGTAGGAAGAGGTGGGTCCTGTGCTAATAATAATAATTATTATTAATAATAATTAATAACATGTGATTGATTATCTATTGAAACTATTAAATAAAAAGATATAAAAAGCTTAAAATTAAATGTATTTATCGAAATATATATAAAACATTTTTTTGAAAGAATTGCCCCCCAAAAAACAGTAGGCTATCTGGTATTGATTTTGATCACTTGGTCACATTATATTGAAGCGATTGCAAACAATAACAATAAAAACATAATCAAAAAAATCATGAATTTTCCATAAAAATATTTATACAAAATAGAGGGAATACTAAAATACCATATTAAGAGGTGTACCCTATGTGCTCTGCATGTGGTAGCAATTTCTGGTATTAATTTTGAGTCACTCCGTCACATTACGTAGAAGTTGGTGGGAAAAAATTGTACTTTTTTTCAATGAAAATATTTACATAAAACAAAATAAACACTAAGTTTAAAATTGAATCGCTGGGTCACATCACATTGAAGTTATTTGACAGAAAATGCACTTTTTTTCAATAGCTTCAATGTAAATGAATGGAAGTGACTCAAAATCAAAACAGATATTATTAGTAGCAGGACACACCTCTTCATATTGGATTTTAGTGTGTCTTCTATTTTATTTAAATATTTTTTATGGGAAAAATCCCTTTCTTTAAAAAAAGAATGTTTCTTTCAGTAGCTTCAATGTAATGTAGCTGAGTGACTTGAAATCAATAGTAGGTATTATAACTACACAGGATACACAGGACACCCCTTCATATTGGATTTTAGTGCTTCTTCTATTTTATATAGATATTTTAAATTAATTTAACTTTTTCTAATACTTTCAATGTAATGTGACCGAGTGACTCAAAAACAGATACTGTTACCACACAGGGCACACCTCTTCTCATCATCTTTAAACCCCACTTTGCTGCACCAAACATTTCAGTTTCCAGTTTACAGCGTGTATGCAAATCTCTGCAGGCAATCCCAATTTGGCGACACACCTGGAAGAAGAATGATCATAATCAGAATCAGTGGGCCGACTGAGAAACACCAGAAAATCCCATCCGTGCGTATAATGGTTTTTTCCAAGTGCACTGTTTTTCCCTCATCTCCCTATTTTGGTATTCAGAAACTTTACAGACACAGATGATTTAGAGGGAAATACAGTCCTGGTGTATTTTTAAACTTCGAGGCTGACCATGCATTTATTCTGCCTCGACTGTTTATTGTGAGAAAAAGCAAAAAATGAATGTTGTCTTTACGTGTTTCGTGCCAAAATATCACAATTGCAATGACTGGCTTTGCTCTTTTATGTTGGCTCCTTTAGCCCAAATCAGACTCTTTTCATTTCCTCCAGGAAAGTTATCCAGTTTGACTTGTAATTAAGGCCTAAGTAAAGAAAAGTTAACCACTAGGTCTGAGCCACATCCACTCTCACTGCAAAGGCAAAACACTATACAGTGGGTCCTACTGCCACATGCATGCTGTATTGCCGGTCCAATCGCCATAAGAAACTGTTGGCATTTTATGTTCCTGCAAACACAATATGTGATATTTGCACATTTAATACATTTTATATCAGCGATTCTAAGGTGACGTAGAATATGAGCTGACTTTGTCATCAGGAAGTGGAGAGAATAGTGAGTCACCTAGGCAAGATGTCTGCCAAGCTGCAGGCCACTGTTTGAGACCAACAAGCAACAAAAGTGGTTGTGATTTTAGGCACCTAACGTGGCTGTTTTGTAGTGACCTGTTGCTGTGTCTCCAGCGGGGATAGTGGCGAAAGAGCAGTTGTTTTTATGCCTCTGTACTGGCAACAGTCATGGCCGGGGGCAGTATGCTTTCAGGTTGTCTGTCCATACATCCGCCTGTCCCATCCTTGTGAACACAATATTAATACCTCATGATATCTCAAGAGCACCTCGAGGGAGTATCTTCAAGTTTGGCAGACACATCCACTTGAACTCAACAATGAACTGCTTAGATTTTAGTGGTCATAGGTCAAAGGTCACCATGCATTTGTCGGTCACATTCTTGTGAACGCAATACCTCAGGAACGCCTGGAGAGATTTTTTTTCAACTTTGGCATAGAGGTTCACTTGGACTCAGTGATGAACTGATTAGATGTTGGTGGTCAAAGTTCAAGGTCACTGTGACCTTGCATCCATCTCATTCTGGTGAAAGCAATATCTCAAGAAGGCCTTGAGGGAGTTTCTTCAAACTTGGCACAAACGAGTTCTGTGACAGGAGATGAGCAACATACTGCTGTGGATGGGTGCAGTTACAAAACATACTTTAGCCTCCTAAAAAAGTCCCACCTTAAAAAATAAATGTCGGTTGAAGTGTACGCTGTATTAAGAGTATTTTCACCAGTTTGCGTCTCCCTCAGAAAGCTTGTTCCGACAGGGAAGCTGTTAATGGCTTCAGTTCCTCATCTATGCTCTTGTCAAAGCCATTAACAGCTTCACTGACAAAAACAGTAATTTGTGTTATTGTGTGACTTGGTGAATCCAAAGTGACCTTCACATTATAACACAAACAAAATAACTAATCAAGGCAGTGGTAGACCAGCAGCTCCTGTGTTCAGCAATGTTAAATCACTGTTTTTACTTCTCTGCCCCGCCGATAGCCACGGCCAGGGGCATTATGTTTATGGGTTGTCTGTCCCATTCTTGTGAACGCAACATCTCAAGAAAGCCTTGAAGTAGTTTCCTCAAATTTCCTCAAACATCCGCTTGGACTCGAGAATGACATAATTAGAATTTTGTGGTCGAATTTTGTGACCTCACAAAACATGATTTTGGCCATAACTCAAGAATTCATAGGCTAATTGTGGCAAAATTTCACACAGATGTCTAACAGAGTAAAATGATGATGTAATGACATTTTATGTCCAGTAGGTCAAAGGTCAACTTAACTGTGAAATCATAATGTTCTGCAAAAACACTTGTCCATTACTCAACATCACATGTTACAGGAAGGAACATAATGTTAGACATTTGTCCAGATACTGAACTGGCGACACTCTTGTGCTGCAGGGGTGAAGATAAAGCAACCATGTTTTACAACCTCACTGCTTCGCGGATATGGGGTGCCGTTTGTAAAGTGTCTCACGCTGAAAATAACATCAACATTTTGCCACATTTAGCTTCAAACAATGTTTAAAAAAGTATTGTGAATTTTTTAACGTCACCTTTTACCACATTTACAGCAATATTTGTTAACTTAGAAATATATTAAATAGTTAAATCTAAATATTAAATGTGGCACCTAAATGTTAAATGTTAAATCTAAATATTAAATCTAAATCTAAATCTAAATGTTAAATCTAAATGCTAAATATAAATGTAAATCTAAATGTTAAATCTAAATGCTAAATATAAATCTAAATGTTAAATCTAAATATTAAATCTAAATCTAAATCTAAATGTTAAATCTAAATATTAAATCTAAATCTAAATCTAAATGCTAAATATAAATCTAAATGTTAAATGTTAAATCTAAATGTTCTGGGTGAAACTAAATATTTAGCTAATATGCAAATTCACACTGCCGGTCACCGGAAGTACCAAAATAAAAGCTTGAGATGGTCAGACTGTGTTTATAGAATCAAATAACGAATTAAAACCAACTTATCTGGGGAAATGAACACTTGAACATACATTAGCGTGATAATAACCACCTAAAATAACAAGAAACATGTTTGGAGAAATTTTATTTGACGTGTACTTTGAGTTGTTAGTATCCCTTCGGAGGGACTAACAACCTAAGCTAAGCTAACAACCGTTAGCTCTTAGCCCCGTTAGCAGTGTCTGTAATGACTCATTAACTCTTAAACGGTCCGTGAAAAAATATTTTTTTCCAGCGGATGTCTTAGTTACAACATGATTGAGCTAGCAAAGCAGTTTTGTGTTGCGATGTGTGGTATTTATTCATTTTTGGGAAATCACGATGTCTAGAAAGCATCAGTGGCTGCAGCAGCAGCAAAGCTATCAGGATGTCATCTGTTAAAAGCCTCCTGTTGTCGGATACGACATGAAACTACTCCAGTTAGCTCAATCATGTTGTAACTAAGACATCCGATTCTATAAGATTCTTGATTGATTCTATACA